GGCATCTTCTTCAATAGTCAGTTCTTTTAAGAAAACTATGCCCAAATGTACGTAGCAGGTGTACTTACGCATAAACGCGAAAAATGACGTCATTTGGATTTATGTCAATTTCACTCATTTTTTTTTTTTTTCCCATTCTAAGGTTTGCAATGCACAAATGAAAGATAAAGCAATAGCTGTTTACATGTTGGTTCAATTAGCACAAGCACTTCACAGCTGCTAATGATGCCAGCTTTGTGCCGGTGTCAATCAGATGCTGCAAAAAGAAAATCAGTTAACCTTGACAATCCTTTCATTTGTAGAAGGCGAAACACCTGACCTTATTATAAATGCTATTGTAAACTTGGTCAAAAAGTCCCACATTGAATTTTGTGGTGATACTCAGATACCAATTTTGGTGAGCTATAGCATCATGGTAAAAACGTTCTCACTAAATCAAAAAACTCACGGAGCAGAAATATTCTATAGAAATAGCTACAGTGGAATGATGCATGATCGTGTCCGAACGAGCTGTGATCGTCTGCCTATGGAAAATAAAGCTGTAGCTGTTAAACTGCACAAATATTTCTGTGTATTCAGAGTAACAGAATAATTTTTTGTGAAGCCGATTCTGAATACAAAACAGTCGGCAGCATGGCACCGCACTACAAACTGTGTACTGGGCACGTCTGGGCCTCTGCAGAGCTCCTTCTTAAATGAAGCACAACAGACCCTGCAGCTTAAAAACTACGTAAGAAATTGCAATCAGTGAAAATAAAGCATGTAACCTAGAGTACCCTGAAATTCATCTCCTGAGGAGGGAAAAACTGAACAAATCAAATGTTAAGAGCTCAATCGGTCTATTGTGGAAGATTTCATAATGACATTTTGGAATATTTCGAGTTTTGGTAAGACTCTTTCGGTGGAGCTGTCGTTTTTAATTAGTTAAATTTATATTCTGTCCTGGAGTGGAATGAAATTGAAGAGGCCTACAGTTTCGTGGCATCTGAATTTGATGAGGCATTCAAAAGATCATAAAAACAATCTACAAAAGATTTGTCAGAGAAAAACACTCTGAATAGAGGCAAAAAGACAATGCCTGGGAAAATACTTGAGCCAAAACACAAAGTCTAAAATGAAGCCATTTAGAGTTGAGAGAGTATTTTCTCAATTAAGAACACTAGGATACATAGAGAAAAATCAACTAAATGTCAAATGTCAAATTTACCAAATATGAATGTGACTTTTATGGAGATGGTAGGCAATATCATGGAAGGAAAAAAAAAAGGATTTCACTATCCATTCTTCAGGAAACCAGCGGTGACGCAGTGGGAGTTCGAACCGAGAGGCCTCCTGGGGAGTCTCGCCTGCTGCCGCCCGCCCTTGCGGAGCCCGCTCCTTGATCCTGCTCTTGCTTTCGTCCAACACAGACAGGCCAGGGGATGTGCCGGTGCAGACCGCAAGGCCTGGCCACAAGCAGCCTTGCAGCTTCTTCCAGGCCTCTGCAAAGTGCTTTCTGGTGAAGTGAGCTAACATGGAACAGCCCGACTAGCCCGAGACTGCCATGTTGTCGGGGAGCCCAAGCTGGCCCGGGGAAGGGCCGCACTGAAGGGACGCGGGGCCATCCTTAGCTGTGTCAGCCACCCCGGCCGGGGCACCTGGAGGCACACGAGAACAGATGCCGTCAACACGACGAGACCCAGCTGCCATCAGACTGCAACTTCATGAGGACCCACGCGAGGACCGTCTAGCCGAGGCCAGTTGACCACAGAGCCGTGAGAGAAAAGTCCAGTAGTTCTGGCAAGTTCTGCAAGCTGCTAAGTTCTGGAGTCGTTCGCTATGCAGCGATACACACCCGGAACACACAGAATCAGAGGAAAATAACTGCTAAACTGGTTAAAGTGTGCGAATGTGTCAAACATAATGCTTCTGTTCCTTTTAATGTTCACATAATCGACATGACTTCGAAGTTTTGTTTTAAAGTACACAGGTACATTTTTTGAAGAAATTTTATTTTTGAAAATTAGTTTTGAATAAATAAACCTTTTTAGAGGTTCTCCAATATAATGAAACCAGTGTTGCCAAAAAAAATATTTAAAAAAATTATACAATTTTAATTATCTTAAGCACCTCTTTTTGCTCTCAAAAACGTCCTGGATGATGACTTACACGGTCACCTTGTCTACGTGCCACTCTGAGGAGGCTGGCTTATAATGAATGATGGCAAAGCCGCCGAAGCTTTTCGAGCTGAATGATCGGGTGTGACCTGCGTTTTGCGGGCTCACTGGCTGCTGTGGGCCGACAAGGAGGGAGGTGGTCAGGAGAGGCTACTACA